TAATAAACAAATTCTTTTCAAAACATTGTTTGGAAAAACAATATTTAAAGACATCCATTGTTATCCTTTCCAAGAAGAAAACATTTGTTTTGTTTAAATATGAAATACAAACACTTAATGGAAGAAAAAATAAATGCTCCCAAAACACAGAACGAAGCCACCCCACTGCCATTTCGTGGGTGGTTATTGGAACGAAGGACGATTCCCGGCAGGACCGAAATCCGTGACTGTCGACTGAGGCTGGGCTGTCCTCAAAAGTGCTTCCTGCAGTAGGGCTAGTCGGCAGGATATTGAAGTCAGGCAGGGACTGGGAGCAGGACAACGCGGAGCAGGATAAAAACTAGTACACAGCAAAAGTCCACTCACGTTCTCGTTGAACTTTCGACGCCCTCCCTCCGAAACTGCAAGGACTATTATGTTTGCATATCTCAGACAATTTCGTGCATTTTGCTTTAGTTCGGCAGTTAAATATTAATAAATCTTTTTCGGTCGGAAAATGCTTTCAGAATGAATGCAAAAGTTGTTGGCAACAATAGTTGCTTGTTTTTCTGAGTGTCTATGATGGGAGTGTGTGTGTGCTGGCTTGTCTGGTGGGTGTCCTTATGTAAATCGGTCGTTGTTCCTTTTACCACTCGTCGTCTTCCTCAGCTTGCTTGTTTTTTGTGCTCTTTCAAGTGCTGAGTGTTTTGTTATTGAAGCATATTTTCCTCATTTGTTCTCGAGCTGCACTACCCAACACACACCCATCCAGCACCCTCTCAACCCGAACTGTCTCCCGTCGAATTGTTGTTAGTTAAACACCAACAAAGGGCCAGAAACAGGTGGAAGGATGAATGTGTGTTAAACCCTGGGTCCCGAAAACCCTTTCACAAAGGAGAGAGCCCGAAAAATAAAAGGCTTAATGTGTGTATTCGCTAAAAGCTTGTTACCGTTCCCGGCAACACTGCCGGCTGGCCTCTGCCGTCCTGGCAACAATCGCTTGGCACTGTATTAAAAGTTTTACGGGCTTAAACTTTCGCCAACAAACTTGTGGCAGTCGCATAAAATGTTTCTACTACATCTGGGCCTAAAAGTATGCACATAGGCGGGCCAGACCCCGTCTCCATTCCAAAATTTCCTCGCCCACCGAAACACAAGCCCAAACAAACACTCGTCGACAAAAGCCAAGTTAACACACATTTGCGCTTTTGCATATTTGCGCGCTGCTACTAAACAAACGAAAATTCCGCCAACCAAATCAACAGGATCTGGCCGGGCTAGAACGCGGAGGGGACGCGGCTAAAACGGGTCAAGAGCTGTTAACTTGAAAATTACACAATTCGTGCATTTCGCAGCGGAATTAGCCAGTCCACTCACGGCAACAATAAACTGTTGCAATACACGCGAAAAAGGCAACATTTGATGGCCAAAATGTAAGCATTAAATAATAACAATGCCAGAGATTAAATCCTGTGAATCAGTCTAGTTTTTTGTAAAATGTTATATCGTTTCCAATAAGCCTATTTGTTGCCGGTTGGCTTTAATACAAATATGTTTGTTTCAATTGGCAATTAGTATTTAAAATTGAATGGATACTTAACTTGAAACGCTATTATTTTTAGCTTTAAAAGGATATACTTAATTTCCAACAAACAATTAAGTAAATGCTATCAAAAAGGACAATCAAATTTATAAGACATTAACAAGTAATTAGTTAAAAACGAGAAAGAAAATGACTCCCAGGGTGATGGTTGCCCAAGGGAGTGTTGACCAGATTTGTTTGTCTTGGCCTTGGTTGTTGACCAAAGGGTAGCAGAGTTCACATAGGGTCCCACAAAGGCCAGAAACAACTTCTCATCATATTACCAATCTGTTTCACTGCATAATTTACATTCCATTTCAGAGGATTTGTAATTGAAATTTAACAGAGTATTATTCTCTATTTAAAGCCCCAATAGTTGTGCTATAAACTATGCACATATTTCCAATCTAAATCAAAAGCAGCCATAGATATTACAATTTCAATTAGGCTGCACCACAAACTGATGGATTTATCATGAATAATAAACCATTTTTGGGCAAATATTAAATGGTTTGATTTAGAGAATAGGATTATAAGTGCTAGCTTTTAGTCTGCAGAGATCTCTTAAAAAGTTTAAATCAAAAAAGTATCCTTTAAATGCAAATGAATAGACACCTCAAACTGCACTTTTCCTGATACTTTTGATAATTTAATTGTTTGGATTTCTTTGGCTTAGTCCTGTCTCTATTTCGGGATAGTCTCCTCGATGGCTCCTAAGTGGAAAAGTGGAAAGGAGGTGGCGGCCCGAGGCGAGGCAAGTTGGTGAGTGCGTGCGGCAGATGAAGATTAATTTGTATGTTCAACTCTCGGATGCCAGTGGAAGACATTGGCCAACACAAAGGCACCAGTCACGGCCACCAGCTGTTCATCTTTGGGCCGCCGCCTTCCCAAGGTAACACCGAGGTGGCACTGGGGGCGTGGGCGTGGCGGAAACAATGGTGCGCTGGGCATTTGTGAGATTCTTGTTTGGGGCCCAGACACGGTGCCAAATGAATGATGAATGCTTATAAACGAGCTCGAGGGCGATGTGTGGCCTTTTAGCCGGCAAGGTACTTGCCACAGGGCGTGGCCCAGGTGCTAAGCCCTGCATATTTATTTATGAAGCTCACGAGTGCCCCTTGGACAGGCTTAAACTGTCAAAGGTTTCTGCCACAATGGTTATTGAGGTGCATCACGAAGCCATAGGGTTATCTGGTTATATTTCAATAAGTTGGGAAAAGATTAATGTATCACACAACTTAAGCAAAATCGATAAATAAGGAAGCCAAGTTACGACACTCCCTCAGCGCCTCAAGTTGCAACATTCAAGTCTCGCTGGGAATATGCATTCTTCAATAGTTTGAGTTTGAGAGCCATTTTGACCCAAATTGCGGTGTGGCACATCTTAGCGAAATTAAACCGCGCTCGTCTCTGGGAAATCTTCGTTTTTTATTCACATCTACGAGTATGAGTAGGTTCTGCGGTGGTGTGTGGATGTGCTCACACTAATTAATGCGACACCTGCCTTGTGTCACGTTCTAGTTAGGGTTCCATTTTTAATTTTCATTTTCAGATTTAATGAACGCAAGCATTTTCAATTTTAATCTGGAAAAGCCGCAAAACTTTGGCTAGCCGCCATCATTAGCCGTTGTAAGCCGTCAGGCGTCAGCCTGTCATTAAAAATGGCTTAAATGACAGGCCCAGTGGGGAGGTCCTTTTTGCGGCACGTGTTTTGGGGAAAAACAAGAAATTGGATAGGTAGTTGCTAGTTTCCGTTTCCTAACAGGGTTTATATTTCATTTAATATCCTTAAATATGGATAATGTGGACAACTATAAAAAAAGAGCCTTAATTAGGTTCTTGTCAAGATCGAAACTTCCCAAAAGCGCATGAAGCTTCAAGGATTGTGCCAGCAAGGACACACCAAGAAATGAGGATGAATGGAACGCAGAGAGCAAAAATTGCAATGTTTCCATTAGCGGCAGGAATCGAAGCAGAGGCAGTAAAATTTAAAAAAGCCATTTTGCCTTTTGTTCTCCGACTTTCTCCTTTTTGCGTCCAGCATTGAAATGCATTTTCCCCTTAGAACTGGTGGTAGTGGCACTGCCACTGCCACTGCCCCTTTGCCTTTGTGCCGCTTAGCTTACTGGGTTTTGTGGCTGCGGGCCGATTCCGGTTTGAAGTAGCAGCCATAGTGCTATATGCTATATGCTGGGAAGTACATGAAATACTAGGTATGTATTTGCAAGAGTCCCGGGCACGATGTTTGTGTTTGTGTAACGAGGTCACTGCTTTAGGACAAAAGTTCTCAACTTGAAAATTACACATTCTGGAAATCAGTAAAAAAAATACTATAAAGTACTGAGTACTATGCAGGCCAGATGTTTTGGGGGGGGCGTGGCCTGGCCAGAACCGACATATATCTTTGACTCTGGCCCGGGCCCTGCTGCACAACTGTTGCCTTTATTCCGGCTTATCAGCCTGTGAAATGCGCCATTCAAATGCAAATGTGCAGCGCAATTAAAAATGTGCACACTCCCTGGCAGGAGCCAATTTAAATATATATGCTTTTGCTTACCCACATATAACGCATAAGTGGGTGTATGGAATTTAATTAGCTGGGACCTTCGGGTCCGGCGCGAGAGCGCTGCAGGCCATTAACAAGTAATGCTGGCAATGGACTCGGGACTGGGTTAATGCGGGAGGCATTACGGTTGCTGGGGCTTCCTTTTGGTCGTCCTTTAATCGCTTAAAGCCAAACTATTCAAAGAGCCTCTAACTGAAAGAGCAATCCACCTGGATGGACTGAATGGTCGCTTGTAAATATTCAATTTCACACTCTGCCACAACCGCGCCCACTCAACAACACACCACCCAGCCCGCCCACACACACACAGTATCTGTCAGCCAGATTGGCCGCAAAAATCGGCTTGTCGCTGCCGGCAAATAAAGTCGCACATATTTTCAAATAAAGCCGCCGTTATCACAAATTGACAGCAAAGTATTGTGCGGCAAGCCGTCTACTTTTGTTGCCAACTGTGCGCCCGTATAGGGCAGTGTGTGGCAGTCTGGGCGTGTGTGGGTTAGAGCCCGAAATGGGCAAATGGCCGAATGGCAAAATGGCCAAATGACCAAATGGCTTCATGCGGTCGGCCAACAGAACGGAACGGGACCCGACTTCCGCTTCCGGTTACACATGCACAGCTGGAAAGTACTCTGTGGTTGAAGGCTTCTGGCACTACGCTGATTGCGGCTTGCAGGCCACCCCTCCCTCGACACTCTCTCCTCCAACCACCAACCCTCCTCCACCCCAAAAAAAAACTAATAAGTTGACAATATGAAGGGGCTATATGGGCCATAGGCTTAAACCAAACAATATTAAACAGGCAATCTGCCGCTGGGGCTGGGGGCTAGCCGATTTCGGCCAACATATTGCCTTTGTTCGGTCTGTCATTTTAACTTCAGTCGGTTGTCGACGAATAGTTCAGTTCAAATCTAGTATCTGTACAGCAACTAGCCGTCCAAATTCTAAAACACAAAAATCATCAAGCGACAAGCATTGATTAGACTACTCTTAGTCAACGTTTTATGTTCTTTTGTGGTTCAGACCATACCATTTCGATTCCTTCTTAGTGCCATGGACGGTGGTGGAGATAACCAGCAGTCGGAGAGATTCTTCCGCAGACAGGAGGAGATCGGCCGTGTCGAGGCTCGGCGCCAGGGTCGTGCCTCCAACGTCTTAGAGGTTTCTCAGGCTGAGATTGATGCTGCTAACCCTCCCATGGATGGTCTGGAGACCCGCCGTGTCGAGGCTCGGCGCCAGAGTCGTGCCTTCAACGTCTTAAGGGTTTCTCAGGCTGAGATTGACGCTGCTAACCCCCCCATGGATGGTCTGGAGACCCGCCGTGTCGTGGCTCGGCACCAGCAACGTGCCTCCAACGTCTTAAGGGTTTCTCAGGCTGAGATTGACGCTGCTTTCCCCCCCATGGTTGGTCTGGATCCGCCTCGCTCATGGGAACAAATTCGTGAAGCCCATGAAGCTGTATTCAACAATCCAGGAGTTGTATCTAGTAAATATTTTAAAAAACGAAAATGACAACCGGTGCATCCTGGCTTTAGCTTTTAGTAGCCGGAAACAGCTATACGGTTTTCTACCTTTGATCATTGTTATACCCGGTGCTCTGTAGCCTTTAAAGGTGACCTTTATAGAATGATAGAGCTTGGAGTACCGGGTATTATTTAATATATACCTATATATGTTTTTATATATTTTCTTTTTTTCCTGCAGGTTTCGTTCCACTGCGGAGGGAGGTCCTTTACGGAACTTTACCTAATCCAAACGTAACCCGTCGAACTGAGGATTCGGGCTTCGAGTCTGACAACTAGGGTTAAAAAACAGAATTTCAAGCTTTCATCAAATCAAAATATGTTAAATTCAAATTAAAACATAGGCCCCTTCAACATGGATTACACGATTGTTCAATGTTCCAACTTACCTTCGCCAAAATTTACTTATTCCATTCGTATCTTAATAAAAGAATGTGAAGCTTGTTAATTACTTATCTGGGTTTCGGTTTATTTATTTCAATTTGAATTTAATCGTTCATTTAAAACAAACTCCATTGAAACGCAGTGTGTTAATGTGTAGATTACTTGAGAGTTGTAGTTATATTTATTTTACACACATATATATTACGCATTTTATAGTTCTGTATACATTTTTAATACGCCTCATTCGCGACGAATGTTCTATGGGATTCATTTCGATTTCATTTGTATTTTTAGTTGTGTTTATATTTATATTTGTATTTGTGTTTTGCGTTTGCGTTTCTCTTGTGGAACATCAATAATAAATATTTACGGTCGCATCCGGTGTGTATGGTCGGGTATTTCAAGTAAATGTGTGTGTACGTACGTATATTTTGCTTTTTGATTTTATAGTTCCATATGTCCATATAGTTTTGATCGACATTGCCTACGGTTTATATAAAAACTCATTTGGATTTCATTTGTATTCATTACTTGCCCTTATAATCGAAATTCTTTCCTACTTTTCAAGTACATACATATTATATATTCTCACTTAAAATAACTCGTCTCGAATGAATCAATGTCTATCACGCCTAAAATTCTTTAGAAATAAATTTAAAAAAAATCAACCTGCATAGTTGCAAATTTAGAAATCACTGAATCGATACGACAGTTTCTAAGAATATAACTTTAAAATTGTTATTACTACACGATATGGTGTCTTCCTTTGCTATATTCAACTTCGTTCAATTATCTTCATGTACAATCAACACGTCCGCACATTACGTATTTTAAATGTTGAAATGAAGCACAAATAATAAACAGAATCTTGTTTGGTTTTAGTATAAAAATTATAAATATTAACACGTTTATTCATTATTTGTCATTGTTCAGTTTTTTTCGTTATAGATTTAGTTTCCTATATTTGTATAATTAATTTCTGGTGATCGGCTGTCTCCCGCTTTTCGAATTCAAAACATTTCGCGCCTTTGTCTCATTGTCAGTCGGGAAATAAGGTTTGAAGTATTCGAACTGAATTCAATATACGTATAGATAATATATAGATATAGATATATATATATAGGTTTTTGTATATATATGTATCTGTTGTGGTACATCTATAAATTCTTTAAAAGTTCTACTGCTGTATACATTCAATGGTTTCTGTCTGGTTGTCTGATATTCGATAAACTACGTTTTGGGGGAGAGATGACTTCGCTTCCTTATAAAATGCAAAAACACTCGGCTTAAATCTAGACTGTGCCTCATACATCTTCTCTCCTCTGGTCTGTTTAGATCAATATATATATATAGTATATAGTATATATATGTATGTTAGCTGATAGGTATTCGTTTAAAGAGTGCTCAGGACACTCGTGATAGGGAGGGCTTTACACTGAAATCCATACAATTTATGTTTAGTTGAGTTAGTTGAGACGTCTGGACATGCAATATGAAAGTGGGTGCTGACTTGGAGAGTGTCTGTCACATTTATTCGATTCAATTCGCCCTCGATGACATGCTGCAGTTAGTGGCTTCGGTTTCCTGTTTAAATCAAGATTTAATCTATTGAGAAATTCCAACAGCTGCTCCTCCTCCTCCGGCGCACCTTACAGCACTAGCCCGTAACCTCAGTAACCGGTCGCGTCGAACAAGTCCGGAAGAACGAGGGGCGGACAGTTGTGCGGACTGCAGGTGACGCTCGGCATCTCGTCGGGGGTCACGGCATCCGTGCAGATGCACTGCAGACAGTTGCCCGTATCCTGTGGCAGAATGTCGCCAATTTTATACAGTTTCCCTGCAACAAACAGAACACAAAGCACCAACAACAGCCACAACACCGAAACCGAGTTCGATTTGCAGTTAAATGCGATTAGGAAGTGAACAATTCTGACGGCCAGCAATAAAATGTAGTTTGTTGCGGGAAAGTGCTTTGCAAGGTGGTACACAGAAAAAAATATTTCTTATTAAAATGTATAAACAAAATAATTTAAAAACAAACTAAGGGGGAACAAATCATTAAAAATGTTCCAGAAACCCAATTGTGTGTGTTTCTTTTAAAGTTTTAATTAAAATTAATGTATTTTTCTCAGTAAGATAATTTTTTTTATAGAAGAATGGAAAACATACATTTAATTGATTTAAATAATTTAGTTCATAGCTGTCATTAAGTTTATTGCATTATTTAAATTAGAAATGCATCACTTTATATTTTTATCGTAAAAAAAATCCTTTTCCATAAAAAACTTGTTTAATAGGTTTTCAGACTAAGTATCTTCATAAACATCACAAAGCACATTAAAAAATAACTGAATATTAAATGAATAATTACCAAAAAAAGAGAATAAAAAACAATTATTAAAATGGACTACAAAAAATGATTAACAAGCTTTTAATAAAACGAAAAAAAGAATGCTCATTAAAAAGAGAAGGCTGTGCATTTGAACTACATTTATGAACCACAAAATGATGTTTTAAATAAGTTTGCATGTTAGTGGCTTGTTTTAAATTAATTATTTACTAAAAAAAGCAAATTCAAGTGATTTTCTCTGTGCACCTAACCCTGGGAGTCATTCGCTGACTTGAATGCTTACCCAAAACATTGCACATACGCCCCGGTGCCATCGGCGTGGTTGTTATAATTGTTGTCATGGTGTATGGCAGGACAATCGAGCTCTGCTGAGTGTTGTCCTGATTGCTACCGCTTCTGGCTATGCTGCTGCTGCTGATGCTGCTACTGCTACTGGCCGCCTGCGGGTCCATTGTTGTTACTCCCGCTGCTCTATCGCTGTTGCCGGCGCTCTCGCCCGACGTTCTGTTGCCATTTGCAATTAAATCCGTTTGGCGACGAGGATGCACATCAACTGCAGTTAGTGTAATGTCAATATTGACAACGCTCCCATTGAATTCACTGCTGTAATCATTGTACGAGCTGCGAAAGAAGACAGCATCGGCAATTCCATTCCCGTTGCCATTGTCTTTGGAAGCATTGCTGCTGTTGCTGTTGCTGTTGCTCCTGTCACTTTTGTTGGTGATGCCCACATCATCGATTATTGTCGATGCTGGCGTTTCCTGCTCCAAGTTGTCGTCGAGCGGGTTCGTGTTGTCGCCATTCAGCTCGGTGGATGTCAGCCATCGATGGAAGGCGTCATCCGACTCCTCCGGGTCGTGTCCACTGCGATCATGTTGCAGCTGTCCGGTCTGAAAGCGAAAAGTAAAACACTGATGGTTAATTCGACTTGACTGAATAGTAAATAATAAACCAACTCAAGCATGAAAAACTCCATTACGAGACAGCATTTCAGGCTCACTGGTTACACTCGATGGGATGTGAAGACCCGGTGGCAGCCAATGAAGTGCCCCAAATTCTAATTGGGCACTCGAAAGTGCAGGAACAAGAGGTTACACAAAGTAAGGCACCGAATTAAAGGATACCTCTAAACTAATGATATAATTAATTATAAAAATAAGGACACTTTTATGCATTATTTTCAGAGTTTATAAGTTTTGAAAACATAAACCCAAACATGATGAGAAAACTTGCTAAAATACAAAGTTTATGTGCAGCCTTATGTGTAACCCTAGGATACCTTCACGCAGAGCATAAACAAGGATGCCAAAGACCCTTCCCAGGGACTCTACTCACATTCGGGACTGCGACTGTGGCCATGGCTTTCTCCAGACCAGACAGCGTGCTTGTCACCATTTCATTTGTTCTTGTCGTCGTTGTAGTTGTTGTTGCCGGTGTCACAGATGATGTTGCTGGTGCTGCTGCTAGTTGGAAGGGAACGCCTGACTGGGTTGTCATCAACGCCTTGGTGGTGGTGGTGGTGCTGCTGCTACTGGCCGGCCATTGTGTGGGTCCTGCCTTTGGCCGCTTTGTTGGTGGCTCTGGCAAAATATCGCTGTCGGTTTCCGCCTCATCAAAGTTTTTATCAGCAGTCACGTCGGCAGTGAGTTCAACGCCTGCATCTGCTTGATTTCCAGCTCCTGCTGCTCCCGATTCAGCTGCCTTTTGTCGCGACAACGCCTCCTTTTGCTCCTGTTGCTGCTGCTGGAGTTGGTGTTGCAATCGTTGCTTTTCGTGCAGCAAATGCTGCTGATGGTGCTGGTGTTGATGGTGCTCATGCTCCTCGGTCTTGTAATCGTAATAAAGCACGGCCGGCAAGTTTTCGGGAAAATTTAAGATTTTGCTGGCCGAATGCGGTTGCTGGTGTGGATGATGCTGTTGCTGTTCGGAATGTGGGGGAGTGGCCACCACTGGCTGCTGATAATGCGTTGCCTTTGCGGCCTGATTAACAGCCAGAGCCTCCGCATTTGGCTGCTGCTTTTCAGCCAACTTTGGTTTCTGCTGCTGTTGCTGCTGCTGCTGCTGCTGCTCGTGTTTGTGTTGCTTGATTATATTGTAGTTGCCACCATCGTCGCTCTGATGCTTTTGTTTTTGCTTCTGCTGATGCGGGAGCTGCTGCTTTATGCCAGACTTTTTATAATCCGGCATATTCTGCTTCTGCTGCTCCTGCTTCAGCTTCTGCCTGTGGCTGTGGTAAACTTCGTAGTCATTAAAATTCTTTTGATTCTTGCGATGCTTATGCCGCTTGCCAACTTTCCTAGCCGTTTTATGCACTTTTGTTGACTTTCCCGTTGTGCTATCTTGCCGATACGGATCTGAATAGTCGCCCTCGCCGTCGTCGTCGTCGCCATAGCCATAGCCATAGCCATCGTCTTCGCTGTCTCCATCGCGGTTGCTGTTCCTGTTGCTGTGGCTTTCTGACATCTCGACTGTCTCCGGTGCGGCTACCGATGCCGCCACCGCCTTCGCCCTGTTTACATTGGCCTTATCTGGGAATTCGAGTAAGAAAAAGGCAGAAAGTTTCTTGTTATATTATGCATGCCATGGATGGAAGACCAGGCCAGAACAGAAGCCTGCTGGGAAACTAACCGCACTTCTCCCACCAGCAAAATATCTCGCCGTCCATGCACAGGCACACCTCGCAGGCATCCAGCCGGGGCACCTGTTTTCAGATACGA